AATAGAGGAGCGCCATAAGTTATTCTGGTATCCGGATACTTACAATTTTGCCAGGGGCTTTGACCCTGGATGGCCATTCCTCCCCGCCGTCTTCGGCATCGGAGGCGTAGTCCGGCAGAAGGGTCTTCCCCTTCTTGGACCCTCCGGCCTCCCCAGTTGGGGCGACCTTCCTTTTTTTTCCTCCCCCCGCTGGAGGGGGAGAGGCTTCTTCTTCTTCCCCCTCCTCGTCCTCAGAGGCAGAGGGCGCTTCGGGGTTGTCAGGCGATGAATCCGACACCACCAGGCGTCGGGAACTCTTTCGAGTCCCCGTGGCCTTCTTCTTGGCCTTCTTCTCGGGCACCACGTGAGGTGCCGGAACCAGCAGTTTCGTCAAGCATGCGTCTGCTGGGCCTTCACGCAAAGGGGCCGGACAGTCAAACTGTTCGGATGTCCTCTTCCAGTCCTGTCAAAGGAGCAGGAGTTTAGATCCTACATAGAGTCAAACTATGAAAATCAAGTGTCCCGTGAAGGGCTAAAAGCAAGCTTACTTCGGTGGCTTGGCGCTTGGCGCAGAATCCGCGATCCTCGGTGACGGGAGGGGAGACCTCGGAGCTCTTGAATAGCACCTTCCAGGCGTCCTCGTGCTTTGTGTCGAAGAGCCGGGACAAAGTCTGGTGCTGGGCCGGGTCGAACTCCCACAAGTTGAAGGCCCGTCGTTGACATGGGAGGATCCGACGGAAGAGCATGACCTGGACTACGTTGACAAGCTTAACCTTCTTGTTCACCAGGTCTCGGACGCAGGTTTGGAGTCCGGTCACCTCTTCCGGACTACCCCACAATAGGCCCGTCTCTTTCCAAGATGTGAGCCGTGTGGGGATGCCAGATCGGAATTCGGGGGCCGCTGCCCATTCAGGGTCACGCGGCTTGGTGATATAGAACCACCCCGACTGCCACCCTTTGATGGTCTCTACGAAGGTGCCCTCGAGCCATGTAACGTTGGCTATCTTGCCCACCATGGCGCCTCCGCACTCCGCTTGACGGCCGCCCACGACCTTCGGCTTGATGCTGAAGATCTTCAGCCATAGGCCAAAGTGAGGCTGGATGCGGAGGAAGGCCTCGCACACGATGATAAACGCCAAGATGTTGAGGATGAAGTTCGGGGCCAGATCGTGGAAGTCCAGGCCGTAGTAGAACATGAGCTCCCGGACGAACGGGTGAAGAGGAAAGCCCAGTGCGCGGAGGAAATGGGGGAGAAATATGACCCTCTCATGGGGCCCAGGGGTGGGGATGAGTTGCCCCTCATCTGGAAGCCGGTGCGTGATGTCGTCAGACAAGTATCCGGCCTTCCTCAACTTTTTGATGTGCCCCTCCGTGACGGTGGAGGCCATTCATCTACCTCCCGCTTCGGACATGATTGGACAAGGTTGAGGTGGGAAGTGCGGACATGGGCGCTGGAGCTCGAGTGCGCAGGAATGGATAAGCAAAGGAGGAAGAAGGCGTAGATGGAAAGGGTGGGTCCTTATCCCCTTATATGGGCGGCCGAAACTATGAGCCTCCACCAGCCTAATAAAACCCGCTTATCTCCCAAGCGCCACGGTTAATGGCACGGTTGGGTTACCCACGCCCGTATTGATGAGAATCCCGGAATAAGGGGACACGATCTCTGCTTTGACAAGACGTGCCAAGGAAACCGCCTCGCTAAACGCGCTGAGGTGGAACAGTAAAACGATTCGAATAAAGGCTTGGCCGTGGCGTGGTGTCACACTGCGAAATACATCAGTAGATTAGATTTGTGCAGATATTATTCTCTCTACGGTGGTATGTGGAACTTATTTTGCAGAGCCGGACACTATCCTTGTGTTCAACATCTTCTATGAAATATTCGGAGGAGGAACCCGCCTTGCAATGCCGAAGACAATTTGCGCGCCGGACTCGTCATCATTGAAGCCTGGTTCAGGGGCTACTGAGGGAGTCCTGGATTAGGGGGTGTCCGGATGGCCGGACTATGACCTTTGTCCGGACTCCCGGACTATGAAGATACAAGATTGAAGACTTCGTCCCGTGTCCGGATAGGATTTTCCTTGGCGTGGAAGGCAAGCTTGGCGATTCGATATGAAGGTCTCCCCCATTGTAACCGACTCTGTGTAACCCTAGCCCTCTCCGGTGTCTATATAAACCGGAGAGTTTTAGTCCGTAGGACGAACAACAATCATACCATAGGCTAGCTTCTATGGTTTAGTCTCTCTGATCTCGTGGTAGATCAACTCTTGTACTACCCATATCATCAATATTAATCAAGCAGGAATAGGGCTTTACCTCCATCGAGAGGGCCCGAACCTGGGTAAAAACATCGTGTCCCTTGTCTCTTGTTACCATCCGCCTAGACGCACAGTTCGGGACCCCCTACCCGAGATCCGCCGGTTTTGACACCGACACTAACCTTCTTTTGTGATGTGTTTGTTGGAATCCAATGAATTGTGGATTTATGATCAAATTATTCATTGAAAGTAATTGAGTCTTTTTATGAACTTTATTATGCATGATTGTTATAGCTTTGTATTTCTCCCTGATCTATCTGTTTGGTTTAGCTAAAATGAAATCTAGAAATATATTTTTAACTCATGATTTGTTTTTGAAATTCAAAAAAATCATATTTCCTAAAACTAAATAAAATCATGATTTAAAAAACAGGAACATTTTAAATTTTTTGTGAACATTTTTTAAGTTTTTGATTTTTTAATTCGTGAACATTCTTTGAAATCCTTGAATATTTTCTAAATCCACAAACATTGTTTGAAAACATGTTTTCAAAATCTAAAAGATTTTTAAAAATTTCTTGAACAACTTTTTCAATTCGTGAACAGTTTATTCTTGAATACTTTTCTAGATCTTTTTTAAAAATTGCATTAATCGGTTTTTTGCAACAAACGTTCCGGAATAACATGGGAGAGGGGCATGTGTTGATGACCAATTCTACTTGCATGAAATCGTCCTTAAGATGACACCAAATAAAAAAGTACTCAACATGAAAGTTACCCGCCTAGTACATGTGAGCAACTTTTCTCTTTGGATCATCTTAATCCAAGAGCATATGCAACCTCTACATGAAAAATAGTGACTTGTATAAAAGATTAGTCCTAGAGGTTCCGGGCTACCTCCGGAATTTACAGGAGGTTGTAAAAGTGTACATGAAAAAATAGCCTGGAGGTTCCAGACAACCTTGGGCCCACCTCTAGGATAATAAAAAACTTGCAACACCATTCTTAGAGTACCCTGGAGGTTCCCCAGTTCTGCCTTTGAGGTGCCCGGAGGTTTCTAGCTAACTTGTCCGCATTGAGATAGGCTTGATGTTTAGGACGGGATTTTGAGAGTTTTTCTTGTACGAAAAATCCAGTCGCCTCATATAGATGAGAGGTGATGGACGGTTGATACAAGACACAATTGAATAAATCAATTTGCTACCATTTCATCTATTGCTCTCTCGTGTTTGCTCCCTATTCTTCGTTGTTCGTCGTGTTGGATAGCATGGAACCTTGAGGCTATAGGGATAGTTAGGCCAACCTAGGGCAGCCCATAGCAACCACACTCCCAGATGGATCCCTCCCATGCATGTGTGTTCTCAACCTTCAAGAGACCTCGCCACCGTGTCTTACATATAACAATCTCAACGAGGCTTACTCCTCCGACATGCCTTACATAGTGCGCTCGATGCTTGGGACACACGGTGATATGTTCAAGTGCGAGTAGTTTCATGTTAGTCTAGCCTATTTAGCCCATGTCAACCCTACCCACCCATAGGAGACATCAATTAGCACACCTCCTCTTGTTGTAACTATTTCCTTTCGCTAAAAAGCACAGCGGCACTCTAGTTACATAGGTTGTAATCTCGCATCCAAAGTAAAATGGGAAAGAAGAACTAGTGACAGGATGATTAGGACTTCAGCCACCACCGCCCATGGGCATCCATGCTTCTCGTCTTTGGTTGCCTAGGCTCCAACAACAAACGTGTACCATTTCTTATCCCCTTATTCATGCAATACTCGTTAACAAGCGCTCTCTCTCATCCTCTCATTAGATGTTTGTGCAATAGTGGTTAATGAGTGCTCATGAGCCTAACGAGCTTCAGACTAGCCTAGTCAAGCTTTTGCTCGTTAAGCTTAACAAGCACAAACTTAACAAATATGAGATTAACAAGTCAAGCATGAATTAGTCGAGCAACTCGTTAATCCATCCCTAGTTCTATACATTGAAGACATATCATGAAATTTATTTAAAATGAGTAAAGGCTGTAACATATACTTTTTTGACATATTCAATATAATTTATTAGTCAAAATAAAGACCGAAAATCCCATGCCCACATTATAAGCTCAAGCTCAGATAAGAGGGAGCACAGCTAAAAAATGGGTTTGAAGCCGAGTTGGGTGTTTTGGATACCGAGCTCCATGGAGGCCTTAATTTTGAAAATTTCAAAATTCAAACTTCTCATTTTAGAAAAATTCTGAAAAACAATATACATGTATACAAGGATGTAATGTATATGTGCGTAAAATTTCATGATCTACCTTGAATTGCAAGTTGCACAAAAAAAGCATGGACTTAAGTATGAAACACAAAAGTATGAATTTGAAATTTTCAAAATTAAGGCCTCCATGGAGCTCAGCCTCCATTTGGCATTTTCGTTCGAAGCCAGCATTTGCAGGTGCTCTCAGGCCGTATGGATAACTAGCTTTGTAACCTAGCAGACGCAATAATCTATATCATGAAAGCAGAAGCAGTTGAACTGAATTTCTCTGATCATGACAAATGCGCGCACACTCTTCGATACAGAACAGGAAGTCTTAAAACTATATACATGAGTTGCCTTCAGTGTTGTAGCTTCAAGATCACATAAAACGAAAGGAATAATTTGTAATAGTACACCTGCAACAGCAATATAACATTACTTCTCGTATCAGAACTTAATAGGGGGAAGCACCCATCAATGATGTGTGTGACATGCCGCTTCATTGTTTTAGCTGTTCAAACCGCATACAGGCGGATAATCTGGTTGATCTTGGCACGACAAATGGGGCACCCCCATTTCTTCGACTCGATATCCTTCAAGCAGGACATGCAACCAGCCATGTGACCACATGGAATGCAGGCTCCTTCCACAGGAGCATCCAAGCAAATCACACAAGTACCAGAGGGGGTGTTACCACTGCTGCTTGCATCGGCTCCATTTTCTACAGGTTTTGCAGAGTTTAGCGCCGTACCACCACCTTCCGTGGGTGGCATGGTTACATCAACTGGTGTGAAATCTATGGACGGATACTCAATAGGGCCATCGTAGAAGGTTCCTTCAGCAAGTGGTGGCGCAGTTGGTGTTGGAAGAGTTGGAAGTACAGTTGGTGTTGGAACCGGAAGTGCAGTTGGTGTTGGAACCGGAAGTGCCTCAGGTGTAATCACAATCGAAGGGTTGTTGTTTTGACTTTTGTTAGGTTTCGATGAACTTTGGTTAGAGCTTGTTCCAGGTACATCCCATCCGTTGTATTTGCTGCTGCTTGGAGCATCAACCTGTGCTTGGCCACTCGTTTTTGAAGGCGCTGGAGAATCTGGTGAGCCCCATCCGTTGAGAGAGCTGTTCGTTGATGTCATTGGCTGCACATTGGGCACCCCCTCTGCTATAGCTGATTGGATGGAGGCATTGATAGCCATCGCTAACTCAAGATCCTCCTTACTGGGAGTCGACTCCGCTGAAGGTGCCAAAGACGGATTTGGAATTGGATTTGGACTGGGGGCATTCACTGGTCGTGCAGGAACCATGCTGGCAACCTAAGAAAAGAGGATCTATGCATAATTAGATTATTTGTTTTTTCTATACTGAAGTTAACAATTCTTGTTGATTCTCATCAACACAAACCAAACTTTAGTTCAACATTAGTTCAAAGAAAATGTATTTGCATCATAATTATTGGTTGCTGAGCGATGTACTGATATACACGCATTCTATAAGCGGATGTTGGTCAAATGATGAAAACTGAAGATTAATCTTCCAAACTAGTTCAGAACATACCAAGAATAACTAGAGCCTGTCTCAGATCTTGAGAGACAGAAAATTCATTAGTAAGGGGAAACATTTCAGGAAGTTTAGCTTATATCACCTGTGCCATGCCACAACATGCACTATAAAATGATCGAAGCTGCTGCTTGTCACCTTCATAAGCCGGTAAAAGCTTGTATCTAGATTCTGCAAATATTCAAATGTAAATTAGAACAGCATGACCTGGCAGCAAAAGTCCAAGTTTTATTTGCAACATAACATTTTAGTGCAGGCCATCTGACAGAAAACATGCTATGTACATAATAAAAGGTACTTTCTTACAGACAGCCATGCAATAAGTATATAAAATGTAATGAAACGTCACTAAAAAAATGTGAAGTACCTATAGTCCGTTTTCCAACAGAACATTTGCACAGAGATATGCTGCACTTTGTATAAAGAGCAAAATGAATCACTACATACATGTGTGCACGAGCGCTGTAGAGAGCAGGAGGAATCACTAAAATGTAGAAATAACGAACTAGCTTTATGTGAGAGAATTTAATGTGCAAACAACAAGAATGATAAAGCATACATGACTATATGTGTGTGGTTGTAGTAATTTTCGTCCTCCTGTAGGGTAAAACCAAACTCATGAGTTCATCACTAAGAATAGGTCTCCCGAGTCCTAACTCTAACCTCGTGTTTCCATGCCAGAGAGTGTTAAATAAAAGAATAAATTTGAGTAATTCACCACACAAGAATTTGTGTTCTGCTCTTTCAGCAAATAATTGTTTTTAGTGAGATGGCCATATGATATTAAATTGCAGTAAAAAGGCAAAGATTGATAAAGCATGTAACCGACAACACAAACATGCAATTCAAATTTGCATAAACTGAAAAGATGAAATATTGCACGTACTTGTAACTTTGTCAAAAATTGTCATGGAAGGATCAGCCAGATTATACTTTGGTTCCTCAAGTTGAGATTTCCAAAGTTTGACAACAACACGAGGTTTAGCAGCCTGTTTATTCATAAAAAGTATGTTACAAATAATAAGAAACTTCATAAAATATATACACAAAAATGCAATAAAAATAGCTAATCCAAATATAACAAAATGAAAGTAGGTGTAGGTTTTCCTTCGGGACAAGCTGGTTTAGCAAGATGCAAGTATTGGTTCTCTGGTTGGATGTGTGAGGTGACGCTGGTAAAAAATGATTGACTAGAATTAAGAATGTTACGAAAACAAACTAAATGCACTATCCCAACTTTATTATTGTGGATTAAGACATTTTTAATATACCTTAATTCATATTTAAGGAATAATCAGTGTACATACTAATTACTAGACTAATCCCCTAAGTGGTGCGGACTCCAAGGCTGCACACGGAGAAAGCATATTTCTATAGACCTTCCTTTTTTCATCCGTCGATCCGGTTACCAGGTGCAAGCCAACAACCTAATCAGGAGGATTGGAGAAGGTGCTGCAGGAGCTATGCAAGTGCATGGATTAACTAACCAATCACCTTTCTGAGTATATTGTGACACAATAACTGTTGTGAATTTCAATTCATGTGCAAGAAATCAAAAAAAAAAAAGTAGAGACATTGTCATGTATCAAACAATAAAAGGCCAGTTATGTGCAATTTTCTCCAGAAACTCAAATTTCAACACAAATAATATAACAAATGCTACTGGTTAGTGATTACTGAACTAGACAATGTGGGAAGCATACACTAGAAACAAATGAGAGGTCAATAATTACATTACTGCTTATCTCATGTTAAATAGGAAGAGTTCCATAAAAGAGTTGTTCACTTTGTTGGTGATATGAATATGTCAACATAACCAGCATTATAAACATTTCTAGGCTACACCATACCAAAGCAGCATTTTAGCAGACTTTCATACCTGCAATTCAGGATATATAGCTAACTCAAGCTTGACAGGTCTTGTCGGGTTCCGTGCTTCACGCGGTAAAATCACTGCCCAACTGGGGAAAAGATTTAACTTAGGTTAGAGACACGTAAAACATACTCACATCTATGTGCTTGTGGTATGTGATGAAGTTTCACGGGAATATTACATCTTCCTAGTCATGAACTGAGGAGCAAACGCTTCCAAGAAACCAGGACCATAATTCTCCCTCATCCATCCAGAAAAAAGAGAAATCCGTCCCTGAAAATAATGAAGAACGAAATAGTAACCAATAAACAACTTAAAGAACAAATAGCAACAAATGAAAATGTGCAAGTCAAATCGAAGTATAATAAGGCAAAATAGGACGTGAAGAAAAAAATATACCTCTATGGCCCTTACAACGTTCACATGACCCTTTTCTCTAGCCAGGTCAAGTGCGGTATTGCAGTCATCATTTGTTATGAATGGGTTAGCTGCAAATAAATCATAAACAGAAGGTTTTTTAACGTACAAAATTCAAATGGCAAACAATTGACACATGGTGATATATCTACAGCAGCATCGTAACCTCCATGTGAGAGAAGTAAATGGACAGTCGGATCAAGTCCTTTTTTGGCAGCATGGTGCAATGCAGTCCCAGCGTGTGATCCTACAAGCAGAAAAAGAAAAGGGAGGCATTACAACAACGCGACAAAAAATGATAACCTATTTTATTTAGCAGGCATCCAGTAAGAATCCTATGGATTCTAATTAGTTTAACATATAAGGAACACATTTCGTTAAAGCAGAGTTGGCACGGTGCAAGTCAATCAATACTGTAATGTTACAGTTCCCTTGATTGAGTTGATTCTGTTTTGCATGACATGCAATCCTCAAACCTAATTAAACATAGGCTATATTTTTACTTGCGCGCATATTGTGCTGGTTTCTATTTGAGTGAGAAATTATAGTTAGAAACTTCAAGGTCTCCTTTTCATATCCCAAAGTATGCACAACTTTAAAACCTTTGGGCTATGGTCGTGTCAAAATTAACACACATTTTTTTTGTAAAACTTACTTTATTTTTTGAAGCACCACAATAGACTTGATCTAATTCCTGGATCCAAACTAAGAATAACAACAAATTTGTACTCACTCCACACCATCCAGAGAAATCCCCTGTTATGCATTCTAGGAATAATGGAGATAATAAACTAAAGCCATACACAAAGTTGCTAGGCATCTATACCAGGCCGATACGCATTCACATTTGCACCCAATTCAATCAAAGCTTTAGCCACATTCAGCAGATCAGGGCGCATGCTGGCGACCATCAGGGGCGTCTTCCCTTCCTTGTCAATCCACTGCAAGCAAGCAAGAAATCCAACCCCAACAAGAAAAGTTTAACTCATTTGATTCCCAGCTTTACAAGACTATATGCTGTCGAAATCGCTGTCCTTGCCTCAACGCCCGCGCCCTGCGCCCGGAGGTTCCGAATCCCCTCGATGTTGCCGTAGTTCACCTGCTGGTACAGCAGCTCCTCCTTGGATTGCTGCACCCCCATTTGGACTCGCCGGACGGTGCAAAGTTGGGGAATGAAGTGGGAGAGCGGTTCCCTTGCCCAAAACTGGAAAAAAAAATTATTGCTGAACAGAGGATTTCTCCAGCTGAGGGTGCAGAAAGGGAATCCCAACCAGCCGCAGCACGGAATCCGAGCGACTCCGAGGCAAAAAGATCGCAGGCTACGGGGGGCAAGCAGGGAATCCCCACGCCGGCGGCGAGAGCGAGGGGCTGCGATTGTGGATGGGGATTGGACTGGACCTCGGCCAGGAAGAAAATTAAGGAAAGTAGCACAAAAAAGCTCAGAAAGATGATCAAACCAAATAGGGAAGGGAAATCCGGGGGTCTCCGAGGCAGAGGATGGCCGGGATGAGATCCCCCGCCGCGGGAGACAGGGGCAGAGGGCGAGAGTTGGCAGCTGCGGATGGGTGGGTTATTTGGTGATTGCGGGTGGGACTTTAACGCGTGGTTGTTTGGAGATTAATGCGGCATCAACATTTTCCCGGTCTCTAGGCTTCGGGGCGAAGGGATTGGGACTTGGGAGAAGCGCTCGCCGACGCGGGCTGTGACGGAGCGCTGTGGATTCTCTGGAAGAGCCACGTCGGAGACGCTACACTACGCTGACTTTTCTTTTCTTTTTTCGATTCGAACAGGATCAAATCCATTACATTCATGAGAAGTACTTACAAATCACACGAAACATAATAAAGTTTACATTGTAAAAATTACATTCAAGAAAAGTACTTACAAATCACCCGAAAATAATAGAATTTACTTTGAGGTCTCTGGACCACCGAATGATCACTATCATCACCAGAACAAACCGTTGAAGACGTTGTCGCGGCTTTCATACCGGAGCAACGGCGGGAAGCCATCGTGCAGTTGCCTCAAGGATCAGCGCACTGGGACGCAACTTTCGTCGTTGGACCCTTGAATCGATCCAAAGAACTTGTCACCAAATATCATCGTTGCATACGGACGACGAGACATCCTAACCTCGCCGCCCCGAGGAGCCGATGGGAATCTACGTTATGAGCTCATGCTCGATCCCCTGACGCAATGAAACGTCCGCGTTGCGCTAAATGGATCCAACGGTGAGCATGAGCCATGATGAACACAGACTTACATTCATCAGCATTTTTGGAGTCTCCCACCTTCCTCCCCAAGCATAAGGCTTCTTTCTCCTTTATGTGATCTCTTCCTATTTCACATCTTCCACTCATGGTGTAATTCTTAACAGGAAAAAAAGGAAAAGTCGACACGCAAGAGACCTCACATCTCACATTGGATCATGGCCCACACAGAGAAAAGTGCCCCCAAGGATGATGCTAAATTCATTTTCGTCTTTCGTCATCTCCGTCAGATTTCGCCTGCACCGATGTGACCCATTTTTACAAAACGGCCGATTCAAGTGTTCATGCGCACGCAAACCAGGACTCCCTATACACAATCACACATGTTTTTCTCACATCCACTGTACCTGTGTGGGGATAATGCAAGCAACCAAATACACCGGACGGTTGATCCCTAGCACTGCCCTTCATCAATAGCACCCGCTCATTGATCCGTTTGTTAATTGTCAATTTTCTGCACAATTTATGCTCTTTGCAGGAACGGTACGCCAAGCACGAGCGAGGCCAACAGGTGAAAATATCCTGTCATACGGTTCAGACTATGAAAATCATAACAGCTCCGCACCTTCCTCACCCATAGGTCCTGTACGGCACAAGATTTTGATTCTACCAAGTGATTATCTAATTGTACCATGGAAGAAATTATGTGTAAATTTGCTTGGCACCACAGAGTTTACTACCAAACCCATGGGATAAGTTATTAAAAAACATTTTTAAGTTATTCAAAGAAATAACCATGGGACCATAGAAGAAGCTAGGCTCAACGAAAATTTGAGATCAATGCAAATTTAATTTGATTGAAGTTCTGTTATTGAGCACCGCTTAAGAAGAATGACAAGCGTGACCAAAAATCAGTTTGGTTTCATGCCTGGAAGGTCGACCATGGAAGCCATTTTTTTTGGTACGACAACTTATGGAGAGATATAGGCAGCAAAAGAAGGACTTGCATATGGTGTTCATTGACTTGGAGAAGGCCTATTATAAGATACCGCGGAATGTCATGTGGTGGGCCTTGGAGAAACACAAAGTTCCAGCAAAGTACATTACCCTCATCAAGGACATGTACAATAATGTTGTGACAAGTGTTCGAACAAGTGATGTCGACACTGATGACTTCCCGATTAAGATAGGACTGCATCAGGGGTCAGCTTTGAGCCCTTATCTTTTTGCATTGGTGATGGATAAGGTCACAAGGGGTATACAAGGAGATATCCCATGGTGTATGCTCTTTGCGGATGATGTGGTGCTAGTTGACGATAGTCGGACGGGGTAAATAGAAAGTTAGAGTTATGGAGACAAACCTTGGAATCGAAAGGGTTTAGGCTTAGTAGAACTAAAACCGAGTACATGATGTGCGATTTCAGTACTACTAGGTGTGAGGAGGAGGAGGTTAGCCTTGATGGCCAGGTGGTACCTCGGAAGGACACCTTTCGGTATTTGGGGTCAATGTTGCAGGAGGACGGGGGTATTGATGAAGATGTGAACCATCGAATCAAAGCCGGATGGATGAAGTGGCGCCAAGCTTCTGGCATTCTCTGTGACAAGAGAGTGCTACAAAAGCTAAAAGGCAAGTTCTACAGGACGGCGGTTCGACCCGCAATGTTGTATGGCGCGGAGTGTTGGCCGACTAAAACGCGAGGGTGTGGCGGAGATGCGTACGTTGAGATGGATGTGTGGCCACACGAGGAAGGATCGAGTCCGGAATGATGATATACGAGATAGAGTTGGGGTAGCACCAATTGAGGAGAAGCTTGTCCAACATCGTTTGAGATGGTTTGAGCATATTCAGCACAGACCTCCAAAAGCTCCAGTGCATAGCGGACGGCTAAAGTGTGCGGAGAATGTCAAGAGAGCGCGGGGTCGACCGAATTTGACATGGGAGGAGTCCGTTAAGAGAGACCTGAAGGATTGGAGTATCGACAAAGAGCTAGCTATGGACAGGGGTGCGTGGAAGCTTCGTATCCATGTGCCAGAGCCATGAGTTGGTTGCGAGATCTTATGGATTTCACCTCTAGCCTACCCCAACTTGTTTGGGACTAAAGGATTTGTTGTTGTTGTTGTTGTTTTAAGTTCTGTTACTTTTTCTTTTTCTTGCAGCTCCACGAATAATTGTATATTTTTAGATACCCGTAAAAAAATTGTATTCTTTATCCTGACATGCACACATCTATTATATTGTTACTCACTTCATTCTAATGAATAAGGCATGTATGCTTTTCCAAATTCAGTTTTGACTGTAAATTACATTGATAATATATATTTTTGTGAATTCATCAATATGAATTCGACGACATGACTTCTATCAAATATAAAAAACATTTGATTGGTCTATTTTTTTTATCAAAGTTGAATTTTTAGGTACGTACGCATTTTAGTATTCGAAATGGAGGGAGTACTAAATGACACACACCGATTGTTTCCAAATGAACTGAACTAGTACACTATAATTACAAGCAGGAGTAATCCCTTTTGGGCGTTGCTCACTTCTCTTGAAAGCTGCATACATGTTTTTTTTAATTCATATGTGTGTCAGTGGCGTATTTTCAGCATGATCTGTAACTTTTTAACTCACTTGTGTGCCAGTGACAGAAATGTCCCGGGCGAAAAATTAGAGGTGAGCCTGACATGGCGTAACACAAAGCTGCGAACTGGCAATTTACAGAAAGCTCCAAGGTCTGTTTTCTTCATCTCCATCTCCACTACTATTAAACAATCAAACAAGAACTTTTTTATCTCCACTACTATTAAACAATCAAATAAAAACTTTTTTATGTGCACCCAAAAATTAGTACCACAAAACATACGAATCAATCAACACCACACAATTAGTCCCACATGTCCTAATCTAACAGCCATCATTGATCTAATACCTCTACGGTGTGCACTTAGCAAATTCCTATGACTGACCGTACTCCACCACCGAAGGAATATTCCAAGTACCAGCCCACGTCCCCTACAATCACGCAATTGTGATCGCAAACTAATAAGGAAACTCAACTAAATTAGCTTCCCTCGCCCTTGATCAGGGTGCCTCCCACCAACCCCGTCTCCTGCCCGCATCGATACCTCGCGGCACTGCACCGCTCGGTCGCCTCCCTGCAAGATCGCCACCGCCGATTGTTGCTGCTCACAGCGTGTAATCCGTCAGCGAGATAGCGGGCGCCCACGAACCTGCCCTTGCAGTGTGGCCCATCCGTGAGATAGCCACTGCCCAGGAGCCTGCCTCGGCACCCGCGGAGCCGCGCCCGCCCTGCACATCCCCTGAACCAGCCGGCCACACAAAGCTATAATTCTTCCCTGCCCTTCTTCAGGTTCAACTTCTTCCTTTCACCTATTGCAACATTATACAGGATTAGAATTTTTAGCATAGAGTTCTAAAAAACAAACAGTTGCACAACATAATGCTATAAGCCGTTCGTTTTATATCTGTAATTAATGGTTTTCTATGTGGAACATGGTTAGTGTTTTGGCTACTGCAATTTTGTAACTAACTGAATCATGCACCCTGTCTCCTTGGCTTTCTGAATTTACGAAGGTGACTTGAGTTGTCGCAGAACACCTACAATATTGGATTTAGCTTATAGAATTTACAAAGGTGCCAATGGTATTAATGTAAGCGCACATCACAGAACGAGCAAATTAATCATAATTAGTTTCAGCTCGGGCCTATAGCCAGTACACATGCACATACATATACACTCATAGGCATGTCAGCATGTGCCAAATTATAGAGTGCTACTCTGAAACTACAAAGTGCACTAAGATACCAACAGATACATACATACCTGATGCGTGCTCAAGGACATGCCAAGACCCCAGGCAGATACATAAATCTGAAGATACATGAGTAAGAAGCAAGATAACAGTCGGT